CAAAACTGCAATATATTACATTTCAGGGTTAAAACTACAGGACCACTGCACCGAGAACGCATCATTGAGTTGAAGTGGTCTGGGTGCATTTAGTGGTTCTATAAGGCAGACTGGCTTTTATGCTATTGTACAATTACTATTGTACTATCGTACTGTTCTTGATCTCCCTAGCCTCTACTGTATCAGAGCATTGAATCAGGTAACCACGGCAACTCTGATACATTTCCTGACTTACTTGAATGTCAGTAGATTAACACGAGCAGCATGGGACAAAATGAGCATGTTGTTGTTTATTTCAGTTATATTTTTAAACACTATAGATTTTAGTTTATTAATTGCGAAACGTCAAAGAAAACATTGAGTTAGAATCTAAATGTAGAATTATATTTTTATCAATTATCAAAGCTTTGAAGGTCCTGTGTTGATGATCATGAGAGAATGATGATTGAAGAAAGAATGCATTTAAGGTTATAGCCCCAGTTATTTATACATTTATACATATATATAGTGATGTACCGAACGGTTCGCCGGCGAACGGTTCCTGGCGAACAGAGCATGTTCGCGTTCGCCACGGCGGGCGAACATATGCACGGTTCGACCCGCCCCCTATTCGTCATCATTGAGTAAACTTTGACCCTGTACCTCACAGTCAGCAGACACATTCCAGCCAATTAGCAGCACACCCTCCCTAGCAGACCCTCCCACCTCCTGGAAGGCATCCATTTTAGATTCATTCTCAAGCTGCATACTTAGTAAGAGGAGGGAAAGTGTAGCTGCTGTTCATTAGATAGGGAAAAGCATAGCTAGGTTAGGGTTAGGGTATGCTTTTTAAAAAAAAAAAAATTCTATGTAATGTAATTGCACTTAGTTGTCTGCCACTGCTGCCAGCTTCTGTGTCAGGCTCACAGTGCATACTGTGCCCATTCCCCAGTCAGTGCCACCACTTACATCTGGTGTCACAATAGCTTGGATTTAAAAACAAAAAACTTTTTTCACTGTTATAGATTGAATAGCAGTCAGTATCCTTAAAGCGGGTGTGTTACGCTAACAGTGGATCCGGTGACCAGTGCCACCACTTAGATCTGGTGTCACAATAGCTTGGATTTAAAACAAAAAAACTTTTTTCACTGTTATAGATTGAATAGCAGTCAGTGTCCTTAAAGCGGGTGTGTCAGGCTCACAGTGGATACTGTGCCCAGTGCCACCACTCACTCACTGGTGTCACAATAGCTTGCATTTAAAACCCAAAAACTTTTTCACTGTTATAGATTGAATAGCAGTTAGTTGTCTCAAAGCGGGTGTGTCAGGCTCACAGTGGATACTGTGTCCAGTGCCACCACTCACTCACTGGTGTCACAATAGCTTGGATTTAAAAACAAAAAACTTTTTCCACTGTTATAGATTGAATAGCAGTTAGTTATCTTCAAGCAGGTGTGTTATGCTAACAGTGGATACGGTGACCAGTGCCACCACTTAGATCTGGTGTCACAATAGCTTGGATTTAAAAACAAAAAACTTTTTTCACTGTTATAGATTGAATAGCAGTCAGTGTCCTTAAAGCGGGTGTGTTACGCTAACAGTGGATACGGTGACCAGTGCCACCACTTAGATCTGGTGTCACAATAGCTTGGATTTAAAAAAAAAACACTTTTTTCACTGTTTATAGATTGAATAGCAGTCAGTGTCCTTAAAGCGGGTGTGTTACGCTAACAGTGGATACGCTGACCAGTGCCACTAATTAGATCTGGTGTCACAATGGCTTGGATTTAAAAAAAAAATAATCTTTTTTCACTGTTATAGATTGAATAGCAGTCAGTGTCCTTAAAGCGGGTGTGTTACGCTAACAGTGGATACGGTGTCCAGTGCCACCACTTAGATCTGGTGACACAAAGCTTGGATTTAAAAAACAACAACACTTTTTTCACTGTTATAGATTGAATAGCAGTTAGTTATCTTCAAGCAGGTGTGTTACGCTAACAGTGGATACGGTGACCAGTGCCACCACTTAGATCTGGTGTCACAATAGCTAGGATTTAAAAACAAAAAACTTTTTTCACTGTTATAGATTGAATAGCAGTCAGTGTCCTTAAAGCGGGTGTGTTACGCTAACAGTGGATACGGTGACCAGTGCCACCACTTAGATCTGGTGTCACAATAGCTTGGATTAAAAAAAAACCCACTTTTTTCACTGTTATAGATTGAATAGCAGTCAGTGTCCTTAAAGCGGGTGTGTTACGCTAACAGTGGATACGGTGCCCAGTGCCACCACTCACTGGTGTCACAATAGCTTGCATTTAAAAACAAAAAACTTTTTTCACTGGTATAGATTGAATAGCAGTCAGTGTCCTTAAAGCGGGTGTGTTAAGCTCACAGTGGATACGGTGCCCAGTGCCACCACTCACTCATATCTGGTGTCACAATAGCATGCATTTAAAAACAAAAAACTTTTTTCACTGTTATAGTTTGAATAGCAGTCCGGGTTAAAGCGGGTGTGTTACGCTAACAGTGGATACGGTGACCAGTGCCAACACTTATATCTGGTGTCACAATAGCTTGGATTTAAAAAAAAAACACTTTTTTCACTGTTATAGATTGAATAGCAGTTAGTGTCCTTAAAGCGGTGTGTTACGCTTTAAAACCAGTTTTTTCACTGTTATAGATTGAATAGCAGTTAGTTGTCTCACAGCGGGTGTGTCAGGCTCATAGTGGATACTGTGCCCAGTGCCACCACTCACTCACTGGTGTCACAATAGCGTGCATTTAAAACCAAAAAAACTTTTTTCACTGTTATAGATTGAATAGCAGTTAGTTGTCTTCAAGCGGGTGTGTCAGGCCTATAGCGTGTACTCTGCCAGTTCACAGTGCCACTCATACCTGGTGTCATAATAGCTTGCATTTAAAAACAAAAAACTTTTTTCACTGTTATAGATTGAATAGCAGTTA